TAGGTTTTATTACAATTCTAATCATCATTTTAAAACAATAAACATTGCCAGCTGAGTTTGAATTCCAGTCGGATCCATTACATCCATTTATGTACTAATACCCTTGGGAAAGAGATGAATCCTTTTCTTCTTCCTCCAGCTATGGGGAAATAGCAGGACAGACCAGGTTCTGCTTCTTTAATGGCAACTGCAGAAAAAGAAATGGCAGTCTACAACCAGAAAAATCAACCTCGTCATTTTCATTATCAAAAGATACATGATTGCTAAACGTGTTATCATGCATGGCACATAACTGAAGCATTACCAAGTGCCTTTGAAGGTAGTTAAAATAATAGCAGCCAATGGAAAAACTGTCCTTTTGACAAGTTTACCTCAAATTATTTATATTAAGAACTTACAAACAAATGAAATTATTAAATTTTTGAACTTTGTTTTTATGAAATTAGGGATGCAACATAAATTTTATAAAGTTAAACCATGAGGTTTTCATTGGTTAAATTCTAAGCACCAAACCAAGGTATAAATATATTAAAAAAACATTCATGTTTAATAAAGTTTAAAAAAATATTTAAAATGAAAAAAAAACAAAATTTTGAAACAATCTTATAAAGGTCCAAGTTATAATATATGTTTGGACAATTACTGTTTTTATTTTTTAAATGATGATTCAATTCTTTAAAAACAAAGGAAACTAGTAAATTCAGTTTCACAAAATTTTCCATTTGCAAATCAGTGAGAAATTTCAAATTTTTTTAAAATATTTTAAATTTCTTTTTAAATTGTAAATATTGCAAAATGAAATGGTGTCGGCTGTTTAAAATAAATAAATTCAAGAAATTTCAATTGTAAAAAAAAATGTCCTTTTTTAAATTAACATTTGTTTTTTGGTTTTTTTTTTTTTTTTTTTTAAGATTCCATTTAGGTGTTTTGTGTTATTGTTAAATTTGCAAAAGCTAATTATTTCTTCTATATTGTTTGTGAAATTATCATTAAGTCTTTGTCTTTATGTTGCTTAATTCACTATAAAACAATATGTAGATTTTTATCAATTTTTTTTTTTTTTTTTTTAATTTTTCAAACTCAGGTTTTTTTACAAAAGCTAATCCCTCTCTCTCTCTCTCTCTCTCTCTCTCTCTCTCTCTCTCTCTTCTCTCTCGGTTGGAAGATTTCAAGCTGTGGGAGATTGTGTAGTATTAAGTAGAATGTGTTCTTCCTCCTAAGTAGCGTTCATTTTGTATATGTGCATGCCTCAAGACACTAAAGACAGTCCCATTCTTCATCAGGTTTATTAAGTCAAAAGGGTAAAACTAGAAAATGAAATATACATACAAGACTAGTCTAAATAACAAACAAAAATGGGGAGTAACAAGGAATATGACAAAGGCAGCCAGTGGCTTGAACATAGAAGTAAAACCATTTGCCTAAATGGGTAAAAAGGAAGTAGCAAATACTGTATTTATATGGATATGCGTAAAGTTTGCTACAGGAATACATTTAATGTTGCAGTGTAACTTCTCAAAAGAAGAAAGTTACATTTAGGGAATAGTGTGTAAGCCTTGAACAAGTTTTGAAAAGGATTTTTATATATATATATGTGTGTGTGTGTGTGTATATACACACACACACTTTTAAAATAAAAGGTATAAAAACAAATGTTCAAATAATGAAATAATAAGAGAAAAAGTTTTAAAGGTTATATTCTGGCGATGATATCATTGAGGGGGTATGATTATGAGGATGGAAAACAATAAGAACCACTTACTTGGGCTCATCCTTTTACTGTGGGGGTCCCAGTGACAATTAAAGGCTAACAGGAAGTAGTCAAAAACGGTGTCTAACAAAAAGTACCTAAAGTGAAAAAAAAAGATTGGAGGCAATGCAGGTTTGTACTTTGGTGACAAGACACAGCTGCTGGTGATTGGGGTCCATTTGTAGCCATTTTGAGAAGTGGGAGATTTCTAAGTGGGAGAGTGCTAAGGTGCCATAGGTAGATTATTTTTTGTTAATATTAAAACTTGATGCCAAATTGTATTTCATCAAAATTGGTGTTTAAAATGTTTGTTAATTTTCTTTTCTTTTTCTTTCAGTATTATGATAGTGTTTCTCTGGGATAGATTTGAAGTTCAAGGAGATATGACATTGAAGGAGTTTCTTGATTATTTCCAGGTAATTTCATATTTAAAAAAAAAATATATATATATATATTTAAAAAATAAGTTTTAAAAATTGCAACACTTGTCTTTTAGGGTTGATCTCTTTCCCTGTACTTTGTTTTCCAAATTATTAAACATATTAAATCGAATTTAATTCACTTATTTTTACAGTTTATGCTTTCCAAAATGCAGATGAAAATTTTCAAATTTTATTGAAATATGGGTGGGATGTGCTACTAAAGAATTGAGTGTTCTTTGGTTACTGTCCGTGGTTCAGCAAGGAGTGAGTGACTTGGATCAAAGTTGATATATATCCAGATGATTTAATTTGGACAAATTTAGCTCTGAAAATGTATACATCAGGCTAACAAGCAATGGTGACAAGTTCAAACATTTTTTACATGATGTCAAGTGCTTTATGTCCATATCCTGTTAAGAGAATTTTAAGGTTTTTTCAAAAAATATATGTATGTCCATTACCCAAATGACTGTTCTCAACTGGAACTGTCCTATTTAAACAACTTAAACCTAATCAATTCTTGTTTACACTTATGTTCATCTTATATTCAATATTTTCAGCTACTTTGTAAATGTTTTTTTAATTATATAGATATTTTTTTTTATCATAAACACTTGTATTAGGCAAGGTGTCGGGTGAGTCGGTCAATTTTTGTCTCTGGAATTCTTTCCTTAGGCAGAAGTCAAGTTCAATCTGTCAATAAAATAGGAGAAATAATGAATTATATAGAAAGGATTACTTTCAGAGGGAAAAAAAAAAATCAACAAGATCAGTTTGGGATCTTTCACTCTTAAATGTCTTGTTCAAGCATATATTCTTAACTGCAGCAGTTGCTATTACATTTAGCAGCTTGCATGGTTTTCTTTTTTCAAATGTTAGTTTCACTGAATCCACAACATGAATGTTGAAACATATATCATACCAACATAGACGCCTTAGTTTAATAAGGCTTCCTGGTGTCTGTTTTACATGTTTTCAAACCATTGAATCTCATCAGCCCTTCTCCTTTTTTTTTTTTTTTTTTTGTTGATATTAACAATGACACTACTGAGCAGTTTCTCTTTCAGCATAGTTCTCTCAAATATTACCATTGTACATATTTCCAGGGTCAGCCAAGTTCAGGTATCTTTAGCCATCATCCGTTTTTTTTTTTTTTTTTTTTTTTTTTTTTTAAAGAGAGAAAGGAAATGTCTAAATCTTATATGTATACAAAATCGCATTGAAGTGAGTATTGCTATTCTAGTAAAATAACTACAATAGTATTAAAAAAATTAAAAAAAAAAATACACACACAGAAATTACAAGTCTCTTAATATTTTTCAGAAAAAAAAAATATTAGATAACCATAAAAAGAATGTTTGCATGCTTTATTCATTCTTCATGACACCTGCTAAACGTCAGGAACGCTTGGAGACCCGTAAGTATTTGGATAAATATTAAATTTTATTCAAATTTTGATATGCTTTAAACAAACTTTTTTTTCTTTTCTCCTTTTTAATATGTTATTATTTTATAAAATTTTTTAATCATAAGAAATTAAAATAACATAGAATCAAATACTTATGAATAGATTAATTTCAGTCTCATAGGCAAAATAATTATGGCATTTCATTCCTTGTAAGTAAGACTTGTTTATAATTCAACAATGGTGAAAGATTTATCTGGGACTTGAAAAGTCTTGAAACTTCAAAGCCCAAAGGCATAGCTATTCTGAAGAAAAGTTTTGAATTTTCTAAATTGGGCTATCCCACGTCCTTTTCTCTCTATTCATGAAATTCAAAAATCCCAGAAGTTTGGCTTTTTACAAGATAAAATTCTCTTAAGAAAAATGTTTTTTAGTTATCAGTGAAACAATTCTTGCGAAAGCAAAAAATTTTTTTTTAATAAAGAAATTGATGATTTGTATATTTTTTCTCATCTTTGTCTTTTTTCAAGAAAGAAACTTAAAATATCTTCTGTTACTGTCACTCAAGAAGAAGAAAAAAGCAAAAAGATAAAGGTGTAACAACTAAACATCTTCATCAGAGAGAAATTAATTCACAGTTTTTTAATGTAATAAAATACATTTTTAGTAGAATCTTGATTTGATCAATTGAAGAAATGTTAATTCACATGTCAATTTAAAAAGTAAAAAGTTGTCAGTGGTGGGTGAGTTCATGTTGAAAAAAATAGATACTTAAATGTCCTGTGTCAATGTATATCTATGTATAAACTATGTTTGTCTAAATTGTTGCCAAAAAAAAACAATTATGAAAAAAAAAAAATGATGGAATATATTAACTTTTATTGCTTGGCTTTTATAATTAAAACCTGTCACTAAGCTTTACTTTCTGCTAGAAAATGTACAGATATTGAACTATTTTTTGGCCAGATGTCTTTTTAAAAAAAAAAACAAAAAAAAACAGAAAATGTCCCCCCAGACCATGTCTGGTGCTGTCAAATATGAATGACATTTTGTTTCCAGTGTTATGCATATGAAAATGTCTATTTCCCTGAAACCGTTTGGATAAAATATCGTAGCAAAACTGTTCTTCCTTGACAAAATGATCTTTTTTAGCATAGGTACCTCCACCAATTTGTTAAAAATGCCCCAAATAAGTTTTTTTTTATTGTCAAAATGTTAGTTATTAAGAAAAAAGATTCAAAACGTTCTTGGATTTATTTTTTTTTTTTTTAAAAAAACCCCTCCAACCATCTGCAGTTGACCTACTGAATTTATTATTGGTTAAGTTTTCCCAGTTTTTTAAATTATTGTATTTTAACCTTTATCTAAAATTGTCACCCTAAATTCTCTCCTTTGCAGCTGTAGGCTCATTCTGTCACCTCAAGATGGTTGCTATAAATAAACATTTGTCATCTGTTGTTTCCAATATTTTAAGATGGAAATAGCCTACTACTGCTTTGGAACAAAGCTAAACTTCCATTTTCCAATGCAATGCCAATTCTTCTACACTCTGCATAAGGTGTACATCAATTAAATTTTTTTTTGCATTTTTTGTAAAAAAAATGGCTGCATCAACATCCAACAAAGCCTTTATTCAGTTTTTTCTTTGATTCATATTCCAATGATGATTTTCAAGTCTTTTACTCAAGATATTGATGGTGAAATGGTCAAATATAAAGAGATGATAGCTTTTACATAGAGTCACTAGTATGGTTATGATGACCACAAGGTGTCAAGCAGCTACTATCATCCATGGGTGACTAATTTTATGAAAGCTGCTGGTCCATAGATGTACCTGATATCCTTTTTCTGAAGGTGAAATTTTCATCTATTTATAAACAACAAAATAACTTTATTTGTCAATGAGACAAACAAATATGCTAGTCAGGTGAAAGAAAACAAACAAAATTTTATGTATAAAAACAAAAAGAAGGATGTCACTTTTTTGGTGAAATGAAAAACCTTTTAGCCATTTTTTGTTTTTTGCACCCCAGAACTCCACAAGGGGTAATAAAAGATAAAGTATGTTAAATTGTTAATGTATTTTTTATTTGAATTATTTTTTGTTTTCAATGTCAAAACATGCATACAAAACATAATGCATCACGTCAAAATATTACTCATCCATTCTTTTATTAGTATACAAAAAATAAAACATACAATACAAAGAAAGTTATAACAATTTTATTATTAAAACAGTAGAGATTCATGTTCTTGTGCCCTCCAAAAAAAATGTATTGGTAGGGGGAACAATTCTACAAAGGATTTAATGTGGTAAAGGTTTAGTACAGAAAAAATTGAAACTTGTACTTCTACAAGAAAAACATAAAAACATATGAAAGTACCTTGTCTATTCAACAAAATATGTATGTATTCATTTATTAAAGAGAGATTGCTTGTCAAATACATATATATATATATATTAATTAATATACATAATATCCAACATTAATAGCACTATTCAGTTTCATGCAAACCTGTGCTGAATACATTTTGATTGTTATGAGATTCGCATTCAAAATGTGGTGATGATTTATAATTGTACCAATTTAATATTTGTTTATTTAATTATTCT